CTCATCAGACCACATGACCTTCTCCCATTCCTCCTCTGGATCATTCAGATGGTCATTTGCAAACTTCAGACGGGCTTTGACATGCGTTGGCTTGAGGAAGGGCACCTTGCGCGCACTGCAGGATTTTAATCCTTGACGGCGTAGAGTGTTACTGATTGTTTTCTTTGAGACTGTGGTCCCAGCTCTATTCAGGTCATTGACCAGGTCCTGCCGTGTAGTTCTGGGCTCATTCCTCACCTTCCTCAAGATCAATGATGCTCCACGAGGTGAGATCTTGCATGGCGCCCCAGACCGAGGGAGATTTTCCGTTATTTTGTATTTCTTCCATTTTCTAATAATTGCACCAACTGTTGTTGCCTTCTCACCAAGCTGCTTGCCTATTGTCCTGTAGCCCATCCCAGCCTTGTGCTGGTCTACAATTTTATCCCTGATGTCCTTACACAGCTCTCTGGTCTTGGGCATTGTGGAGATGCTGGAGTCTGATTGATTGAGTGTGTGGACAGGTGTCTTTTATACAGGTCACGAGTCCAAACAGGTGCAGTTAATACAGGTAATGAGTGGAGAACAGGAGGGCTTCTTAAAGAAGAACTAACATGTCTGTGAGAGCCAAAATTCTTACTGGTTGATAGATGATCAAATACTTATTTCACACAATAAAATGGAAATTAATTATTTAGAAATCATACATTGTATTTTTCTGGATTTTTGTTTTAGATTCCATCACTCACAGTTGAAGAGTACCTATGATAAAAATTACAGTCATCTACAAGCTTTGCAAGTGGGAAAACCTGAAAAATCAACAGTGTATCAAATACTTGTTCTCCCCACTGTATATATATATATATATATATACATATTTATATACATACATACATACATACATACATATCAGCAGGGACGTGATGAGGGGATTGACGTAACTTGCAAATCATGTGTAAGAAGACATTTGCAGATGTACAAAGTAGAATTTTATAATATGAAATGTCTTATTATGAATTTGTTCAGTTGTTGTTGGACGACAGATTTCTGTGCAAACACAATATACAAACGTTTTCAATGCTCCTGAACTCAGAGCAAATGAGGCTTTCATTCATGCAACGTGGCAGAAATTAATGGTAAATGCCCAAAGGGGTTAATTTAACCAACAATTACTCAGCGTCATCATCCATGTCGTGACAGTTTGTTTAAAGGGGATAAGGTGGGCTGCTGACATACTGTTATTATTATTTGGACAACCAAACATTTGGTAAGGTTATAAGTCATGCATGAGGTGAAACAAAAAAAAACAAAAAAAAGAAAACAAGTAAGGACACAAAAAGAAGCTGTGATCAAATTTTTATAGAACAGCCCAGAAAGATGGATTTAAAACAAATAAAAATGAAAACTTTAAAACAATAAATTAGACGCCCCATTCTGAAAACAAAGCAACAAAAATGTTTCATAAAACTTTGGGAGATGTGTTTAATGTGTCTAAATGATCTCGGCTGCTATGTAGAAAATACCTGAGGCCAGGGCTGTAACAAAAAGCTCGAGCACTGACACCACGTTTGTTCTGTAGAACAAGCTAGCAGCTGATACTGTTGCCCTGAGCGTGCAGTCAGCGGACAAATGTGTTAGTGATCATAGCCCATGACAGAAACAGGCACCCTGCTTCTGCTGCGCTTGCATCCAGACAAGGATTCAGAAGGACACAAGGAGATTCAGAACTCACGCACAGTCAGGATCAGCTGTCCTGAAAACCATCCTCAGATAATGTTCATAAGGATTATTATCTCCTTTCATCAAAGGTACCGGATGTTTGCAGAGAAAGACAGACAGACTCTTCATCATAAGACAAACAAAGCACTCCACGCTAAATCCTTTTCATTATCTTTTCACAGAACACCTGATGGCACACTTGTGCTTTGAATGAATTGGTTTATTTCCCTTGGTGACAATGTGACCAGCAGTATGCTTTCATAACACACAGGCCACAAGAGTTTGTGAATAAAACAAGTGAGTGAGTGCAGCAGTAAAACAGCTTCTTTTCTGGAACTGATTTGTTGATAAAGTCAGGCATGTCATTGTGACAAACGGGGATTATCTTTAAACTAGAAAAGCTCTCGAGTAAATCAGACTTGGAAATGGAAGCAATGTGGAACTAATTATGCCTAACATTCCTAATTATGCCTAACATTCAAGATCAAATATTTCATCTAAAAAAGAGGAAGCACACATTTACAGAAGTCAAAAACAGGTTTTGCTAGATCACCTACCTTCATGAATGAAGATATACCGTGATTGAACATCCGTTGTGGTCATCATGCAGAAATAAATTTTTTTCAGAGAGTGGTGAAGGCTACACAGAAGTCTGTTAGAGTCAGCTCCCCAACATCACAGACATCTACACCTCCAGATGCAGGAAGAAGGTCACCTGCATCATGAAGGACCCCACCCACCCAGCACACACTTTTTGCTCTGCTCCTCTCAGGAA